TTCGACGGATCGTTAACCTTGTAGGTCGGTTGGTCGTGGTTGTTGTTGTCACCTCTCGTAGTTTAGTGGTCAGAACATTGGTGCGTAAAGCCAAAGGTCCCGGGTTCGATTCCCGGCGGGGGTGTGACAACAGCAACAATTTTTCCCTCATTAATTTGAGGTAGTTTGTAGTGGGTAAATAAAAAATCGAAAAAATGATTTAAAATTAATATTGTATATTAATCTACTATTAAGTAACTAAAAATGTTATAGGGTTTCATACCCTTAAGGTGGTTGAAAGTCCTTCCTTTACTTATTTAATGGATTTACTTACCTTCTTCGTAATTGTTTTATTTCTCTAATGCAATTAATAACCAAAGTTAATAAATAAATAAATAGAAATGGTCAAGCAATATTCAATAAAACTAAAAACAGAGCAATAAAATTTATTTCACTGTTTTTATGTTGGACTCTACTTACCATTAATAACTCCATAAATTTTTACGTGTTTTCCTAATGGTACTATTACTTTCCCATTATCCACTCTCTCGAGCTCGAACAGGGCCGTATTATAATTAATATCTTTTTTACATTTCAACGAATAATGCGTCCTGACGTTATCAGCTCGTTCGATGTCGTCTCTTTTCTGTTTCAACGATCCATACGATTCCCAAATTTTGCTTTCAGTCTTTTTAAATATTATCTCGATCTTTCCAGTTTCAAAATGGACTTTAGTATGGCAAGGCCAATGGATGGATTTCGAAAAGGTTATTTCGTTTGTGAAAACTTGGCACTCATACGTTAAATAAACGAATACGACATTGTCTTGGCTCTGAGGAATTATTTCTACTTGAGGATTACACAGGGCTTTGGTATAGAAGACGATCGTGATATAATCCGTTTTCTGGATCCAATCAAACCTCGGTTGAAACATCCGATCTTTCAGATATTTTATATCGTCGGAAGAATCAGCTTTCCTGGCAAACTTCGTCCTTGATTCACTTGCAATACTTATCGAATCATTTTCATCGGAACCAGGGCTTTTGATTGTGTCCACTACTGATTTTGGCTTATTCCCATTCGTGTCTTGCTGTTTGGGAGTTTTTGGAGATCCAAAAAACAACTCTTCAGCATTCATTTTGGGATCTAGTACTACCAAACGACCTATGTAACATTTCTGAAGTAGTGACTCGTAGTTAACCCAGGCATGAACCTGAAGGAGAGAATAAACAACTTTAGCAAATCCTAGAACACGTAGAGGGACATTAATGTTGTAAAACCTGTTCAAACAGTTTCGTTGCATCTGTTCCAGCCCCTTTCATTATTTCCTCTGGACCTCCTGGATGATAAGGAATGTAATGGGTGATGTTAAAAACTTTTCCCCGAATCGCCAACCAGGCGTCGGTCTCTTTATTGTGCCGGGCCAACTCCTTATGCGTTACCTAGATTTAAAAATGGACAAATGAAAAACACCAGAATTTTGAATTAACCAAAATCGAGACCTAACATAAGCAAAATTGTATCTATGTAATCCATGATAATTCATTCTGTTGAACGATAAAATTTAAAGTAAAACGAAAAGCGTGTAAAAGGCACAGGCCCTAATACTTCACGTGGCGTTTTTAAAAGGAAAAAAGATCAAAGAATGTGTGCTGACATCAAAAAGGCTTCACGTACTCTTGAGGTAATCTCTCCTTTTGAAACCTTTACCAATTAGGGAATGCTTTGTGGTAAATAACAGAAAACATAAATAATTTCTTTTTTATCTAAGTTTGTAACAGATTTAACAAGATACGTATTTGTTGACGTTGACATATCATCATAAAATCGTCAGTCCTAAGACTGGTTGGAAACGCACTTCCACTCTTTCCTATCCTGAGCTAATCTTCACATTTCCCTAAAACTAGAACATCCCACATTCTATTTGCGAACAGTAATCTAATCTAGGTCTACATTTACTCCTCTGAACTCCTGTTTTTGCCTCTAATATGCCTCTGAATAGGCCTTCATGCCTGAAAAGGTGTCCTACCAACCTAACTCGCCTATTTCTTGACTTGACTTCCATAGAGTCCTCTGTTCTCCTACTCTTTATAATCGTTGATGCATAGAAAATATTTATTGACGTTGATGCAATCAAAAAGCAACCCTGAAAAAGTTCGTATTGGGATGCGAAACGTTCGTGTAAGCTTTTCACAACTTTATTAAGGGGAATGATATTTGCGAACTTATTCCCTCAACAAGCTTTTTTTAACGTATCAAGATATGAAATCGCTCATTTTAAAAACTTAAGTGTTGTAATCTCTCAAAACGCTATAAAAGTAATTATTTTTAAGATGTTTAAACATTAATTGTACCTCAATCTTCCATACATATATCAAGCAGCTTTTAACCAAATTACTTTAGGTGAATATTAATTAACAGTAATTTGAGATCGTCTAATAATTTCTAATTAATTGTAAGTAGCCCAAATAACTAATTGTAAATTTTAGATATTCCTGTGTCATAGGTAGGTTTAGTTACTATTACTTTGGGGAACGAGTTCATGACTAATCCCAAAGCGACACCTGCTGTCCGAACGAGTCAAATTGATTCATTAAAATCCCGCAGGCTCTATATTCTCAATCATGAGCTAATTATTCTACCCAATACCTTGACAGGTACCCATACAGCAACCATCTTCTGTTTAAGACCTGTTTTGTTTTATATATTAATGTAAATAAATGTTATTATAACCGGGAACTGAAAGCGCCCGTTGTTACGTTCCAGAACTTTTAGAAAACAATTTCGCCATGACGATGGCGCATATGCAGATTTATTCAACTTTAAATCATCCGGATGAACAGTCGACGAACAAAGAACGTTAATTCAGAATTCTCGACCCGTGTTGCAGATACTGAAAGCTGCAGACCAATTACTGTCAATGGATTGCTTGATTTTATTTTAAATGCATATTCATAGAAGTGCACTTAATTAACACGAAAAATTGACTATCATTGAAAACTCACAAACATCAAAGAAATTTTAAATTTTATACCTATAGGGATTAATTGCAAATTTAAAAATCTACCAAACTTTTACACCCATTACGTAAGCATATCAGTGCTTCAACTTCTGATTAAATTATTTAGCTCGAGCGTTATTATTTAAAATTGCTACTGAAAATTTCAGTTCACTTCGCTTGTTGAAACTGCAGATTAATGTCATAAAATAGGGACATTTTTCAATGGCTCTTTTATTCCTTTTAACTTTAAGAGCTACATCCTCAGTACGAAAGCTTACTATTTTAATAACTCTATTAGCAACTGGTGTAAGAACTCTGTCTAGTGATGGGATAGTCCTTTGAAACTAGTTTTTAGAAATTAATTCTATCCGTTTTTTAATACAAGCTTCCTCTTTTTGATTTAATTAACAATTGCTTCAATACAAAGGTCTTTCATGGAATCCTTCAAAACTATACTGAGTGTTTCTGATATAAGCATCAAGCTTGCAGAGCACTTTAAAATAAGAAACACCCTGTATACCCTTGTCCTGTATGTCCACTGAATATGGTTTTAAAAAAACAAACTTATATATATTAAAATAACCAAACTCTTATAATCTGGGTACGGATTTTCCCTATGCCATATAGATATCGTTACCCTTTGCTCATTTTCGAAGGACGAGAGTATACAGTGGTTGCTTCTGTCTACACCCCTATTGTGACTGACAAAGGATGATATAGGATCGTGTAGAGACAATCCTTTGTAGTGCTTTAAGGAAAACTGTTGTTCGTTGTGTGAAAATTCTACTAATTCCTCTGTTTCTATAACATTTACATTTAAACTGAACTATACGATATTCTTTCGGAACTATCAAAAACCAATTCGCAATCATAATTTTTCATTACGACTTTAAAGAAGAATTTAATGGACTTCAGTTGTATTTCCATTTTCTATTAAAAAACAAATTACTCTTTGCTAATTGCTCAGAGTGAAATAGTTTATTACACGATTTTGTTATCAAATTTTCCTATTTATGTAATGCGAAATAAATTTCATATAGTTTATATGTATACCTATACCTAACACTAATTCAATAGGTTTGTACCTAAGTGAGTTAATTTTATGAGAACAGAACTTTTCTAACTTTATTTGGAGTTACAATATTAAATTAATATTTGTTATATATTCGATTGTCTTTATTTTATTACAAACTGTAATATAATTCCTTTTATAAAATTGCATCCCTAACTGCATGTACATGCAAAACAATATCATTTAAAGATGAAAATTCGTCAATCTACTTCAATGAAAGTCGAATTACAGTTCCATCATAGTCTTTATTTTAAATTGACCCGGCACCTTCACCAAATTTTTCAATAAACTTTCACAAATATACGCCAATAATATTTTTGTATCTTATGATTATCGTATTTTCAAACAAAACATGTAGATGGTAATATGTGGAAAATGGAGCAGATTATGACCTAGATTAGACTACTTTTCTCAAATAGTTACCGAAGTTTTTTTAGTAAGCAATAGAAATACGTAAATACCTAAGACTGGTTGGACACGTACCTCCACTCTTTCCTATCCTGCGCTAAACTTCGCATTTCCCTAAAACTAGAACAGCCCACATCCTTAACTTTTTGCGAACAGTAATCTAATCTAGCTCTACCTCTACCCCTCCTAACTCCTGTTTCTGCCTCTAATATGTCTCTGACTAGATCTTCATGCCTGAGAAGGTGTCCTACCAATCAATCTCGCCTATTTTTTATTGACTTCCATAGAATCCTCTGTTCTCCTATTCTTTCCAATAAGTACCTCTTCATTTCTAATCTTTTCTACCCACGTTATCCTCATCATCCGCCTATAACACCACATTTATAACGCTTCCGACATTTTCTTTTCCGCCGCGCCCACTGTCCATATTTCGCACCCGTACAACGCCGTACAACACCTTTAACAACCTTTTTCGAATTTCTAAATTAACCTTTCGCGAGCTTAAGTATATTTAACATGTTGTCCCATTTAACATTGTCAAAAGCTTTCTCTAAATCTACAAATCCTATGTACGCACTCTTTCCTTTTTCTATCGTTTTCTCTATTGTTACCCGTAAAGCAAGAATGGCCTCCCGCGTTCCTCTATTTCATCTAAAACCAAATTGATCTTCCCCTAATAGTTCTTCCACCCTTTAATCTATCCTTCTCTGTACAATTCTAGTTAAGATTTTTGACGCATGAGAAGTTAAACTAATTGTTCGAAATGTCTCGCACTACATATATATAATGATAATGAATAACAAATACATATAAATATTCCTTGTATACAAATTGAATTTAAAAGAGTGACTCTGTATACGTATATCGATATATGTACATAAAAGCTTTCTTCTTTTTGTTACTCTGAATATACGTATTCGCATAACTCGAAAAAGATTATCTCTACGTGTTCGCCTCAATAAAAGGACTCTGTCAGATTTCCTTTGAGGATTCCATCTTTTAAATTTACGCCGCTTCTCCTCGCCCAACTCAGTCGAACATTTACATTTCGAGCCAACAATCTCTTTATGTTCTTCGGTGACGTAAATGAGGCGGGGGACAAAAAGAATTCATTTTTTTCTTTGGGTCCATCGAACGAGAAAGATGCCTGTTCGGCAAGATATTTCCTCTGATATAATCCAAAGAAAATATAATTTAGGGATCGACTACACGTCATTGGTTCCTTATGGTGGCTGATCACCATAGAAATGTACAGAATATACACGTGAAGTATTGAATAAAACATTTTATACTCTAATGAAAAAAACAACGAGGCAAATGTCACGTCGAAGGTTCCGTTTCGTAATAAATACTAAATACAAAATTAAAGTAACCATCTAAGTACAAGATTACTATGGTCAATAAATACAAAACTAAAGTCTTTGTATGTATAGTTAGTTCAGAATTTCATGAGCCTCGCAGACTATTGAATTCATATTATACATTGTGAAAACATTCACTTGACTGTTGACCATATGCCTCGGTATACAATCAGGGGTGGAACTTCAAGTAAACTGTAAGCAGAGAGCGAACAGAGACTTCAAATGTTTTTACCCCTCCTGTAACTTTTTAATCGTATCTTAAGGTAATAAATCAACTTCCCGAAAGTCTATTTTAATTAACTTCAATGAATTATACAAACAACGTCTTCATAATTGTCTGATTGTTGTTGCATACGTGTGGACTATACCATGGTGTAGTGCAGTGGTTTCCAACCTGTGGGGCGCGGCCCCCTAGGGGGGCGCGAGACTGTTGCAAGGGGGGGGGCATGCAGCTGTTTCCAAAATATCATTTTTTCAAACAAAGCTTTAGGATTTTATTGCCTATGTGAAACTGGTTTTACTTTAATAGCTGTCTTAAAAACAAAGTATCGATCTCGCTTAGTGATTGAAAAGGAACTGAGAACCGCGATTTCTTCAATGATACCACGGTTTGAGAAATTTGCGCTGAAAAACAAGCTCAACCGTCGCATTAAATTTTTATAATGTTGTAATTGTTAGAAAAATTAAGAGAGATTTTTTTTTAAAGGAGGGCGCAGGTACAAAAAGGTTGGAAACCACTGGTCTAGTGCGTTAAGACATGATTAATTCCATTTTTGAGAAAATTAAACTTGACATTGACGTTTTATTTTTTCCTTTGGTCGAAATGCTTCATCATTAGCACACGGAAAAAGGTTTCTTTCTTAGATCCACTTATGAATACATTAATATTTTTAATTATTTTAATTAGTTAAGTTAATTAGGGTTTTAATTAGTACTCATGCTCCACATGATGGAAATCTAAACAGCTACTCTTAAACCTAACACGCTTTACATAAAATCGAAAAGTTTCCCGGGATTTCCCGACTTAGTAAACTTAACATGCATTAACATCAAGCCATACTTGAATTCTAAATGACGGCAAACTTTCATTTCATGCATATAAAATATCCTAACGCTAATTTTCATATTTCCCTTACAATTATTTGATGTTGGAAATAAAATGTCAATACAAACGAAAAACTGAACTTAATTTAGATACCAAAAACGAAAATTGTAAATGCTTCTGCCTTAGTTGAGGAAGAGGATTGAACATCCCTTTCTAACCTTCGTTTTCATGTTGAATTTTGAATACCAAAATTTTATTTGAACAGCAGCTTTTACCTCAAAAAGCCATTAAGAGTACTTTGTGAAAGTGTTAGATTGGTAGTAAAGATAATTACGTTTGAACGAGCAAAGCAAATGGTTTTCTTAAATGAAAAAGTTTGTCGGCTAATCAATTATTACCGAAAGTCGGCCCGCTTGAGACCCAACGCCTGTCAAATCGGTCCCCGAGTTGCCCAGCCTAATCCAGTCCATGAGGGAATGACCCGGAGAAAGGGCATGTTTATTTCTGGGATTACCTGGAAAAATAGGATAAAATCAGACAACCGCATAGTCAAAAAAAATCAGTTAAAATTTAATTCTTGTCATATGAATGGATTTAAATCCAAATATGAACAAAAAATAAAGGTACTTATAATATTTTATGTCATTTAAATTGAATCAGTACCAAAACTGGATAATTGTACCCATAGAATTCAACAATAAAAAGTGAAAATAAGGACATTATTGCCATGGTAGTCCAGGAGTTAATAGAGAATACTACAAACGGCGCAGTACGGGGGTTCGTTTTCAGCAAGTAGATATCCACACAAATGGACCTTGTTGGAGTATACGTAATCCTAAAATATAGCATTGTGCTACAGATGGCGTTTACTGCGCCGTTTGTAGTATTTTCTGAAACGCACTGTTAAGACAGCAGGTAAAAGTCGGTCTGTGTTCTGTCGGAGCTGCCTGCGACGCGCTGATGAGATCAAAAAAGATCGAAATCGCGATCCGCGTCTGGCAGTTTCGACAGAATACAGACCACTTCGAATTATTTTATTCAGGAGTTAATGTTAAAACCCTACAGAAAGCATTTATTATTTTCATTATCAAATACCTACCACTTACAACATAATAAGAATTACGATACTTAGGTCTAAAGCGATGTAATTTGGAACACCCTGTACGCGTAGAAAGCTTGAGAGACGAGAATCAAATATTTCTCCCTAATTCGGCCATCTGGAATTCAATCAATTGCCATTTCCACAATTTTTATTAAATTTCTTGGGGACGAACGTGAGAGATCGACAACTTTTTACCTCGTCAACCGGGAAAAGTATTCGACCTCCAAACAACAAATTAAACTCGATAGAAATTTCTTATTTAATGAAGCAATTACGTTCGTAGTATGTGTATTTATAGTAAATGAAGAACAGGAAAGGGTGCCTTTATCTTGAAAGTTCTCGCTATTTCTACCGAAATTTATTGCTGTTTTATGTAGGAAGAAAAGGATAAAAGGTTTTTATACTTTTTTCAAACGAATTTTCCTCAAGAAATTTCACACCACCAAACAAAATAAAATCTAGTTAAGAATGAAAGTAAAGTGGACGTTTTTTATAGCTTTCCCCGTACATTTGGAGTTTTCCGACCAAAAATAAAATTAATCCTCAACCTTACTTCTTAAAGCAAAAATTTAACACGAATAAAACAATGGAAGCTTCCTTGTTACCTTTAAATAACCTAGAAACTAATTAATCCACAGAATAGTGAACTTGTATTACGCCATAGATGGGGTACCTTCGTTAAGGACCAAAATCTCATGTATTTTCTTATGAAGATTAATTTTAGTCTTCTTCTTCAATTTTACCCCTCCCTACACTCCTAATCCGCCGTCATAACCGGATGCAAGACACGACGCCCCAAAAGATGGCTGAGATGACAGCTGTCAAAGATGGCTAACAACAGCTGATGGCTGGAGGAGGTTAAAATTGAACGAAAAAGACGAAAATAAACCTAAGAAAACACAAAGGATTTTAGAAATGTACTTGAAATAATAAGAATACACATGAGCTACTTATCAAATGGAATTGGTAATTCCAGTAGTACTCACATTGGACTTCCAAATATTTTATCAAACTACTTCGTACTTGAAGTAACCCAAAATTACAGAAGTACTTTGTACTTGGAAATTCAAGTGCAACAACCGGCTACTTGATACTTATTACTTGAATCAATGTAACAGAACACTTTGTCCAGCTCTGACCATATTAAGGCCTCCAAACGGAAAACTTTTTCCTAGCTGATATATTACAAGCAGAAACAGGAATAAAGAGGCGCAGAGGAATTAGTTAAGAAAGCGGGATGTTCCATCACTTCTCGGAGAAATGCAAAGATTAACTCAGGACAGGAAGGAAGAGAGGTGAATGTACTCCAGTAAAATTTCCAAAAAAGGTCAGTCAGGTTTGAAATAAAAAGTAATTCTATTTAAAGGGTGAATAAATGTGTTGAAAGTTTCTTTCAGGTGAAAGGACAATGTAATCTTTTTAAAACGTAAATACACCTTCAGATGTTCTTTTTTTTCTGTTTTCATCCTTCCACACACGAATCGCAGTACTTCTTTTATTTCAGATCTCGGAAAACCCCGTGCTACTGTAAACGCTTATTTGCAGTCGTAAAACTGATATACACAGCAACGATTTTCACCATTTCACACTTCAGTTACACTGAAAACCAGGAAAATACTCGATTGCAACAAAATATATACACCTATACGCATAAATAAATACGTACAAACTCAACTGGACATAAATATTATCCACAGTATTTCATAATATGGAAGAGTCCTTATAAACAAATGATATACATGATCTTTTTGCTACGATTGGTAGGTACGTTTTAGGTTATGGTGTGCTAATGAGAACTAATAAATTTTAAATGGTGATCCATAGGTATCTAGAATTTTCAATAAACTGATGTCCCTAGACAAAAATTTTCAGTCTCTCGGAGTCTTTTAGAGTCTTTCAGCGTCTCTGAGAGCGTCTCTCACAGTTTTTCGCAGTCTTTCAGTTATTGTCTAGGTGTTTTTATGGATCTCTCACAGTCTCTGTATGAGAGACTCGAACGAAAAAATTGTTAATTCAGAGATTCAAGTCTCTCACAGAGAGACTGAATGAATGAAACTTAAAAAATTGAGAGACGCGAGTCGAGGATCTCTCCATGAGCGACTCGAGTCCCTCGTTCAGAAACGCTAAACAGTTTTTTGGCAGTCTCTCTCAGCGAGTCTCGCTTACAGAGCCTCTGAGAGACTGAACATTTTTATCTCGGGGTAGTCGGTAAAAAAATGTTTTCTAAAACCACCCAGACGATCTTTATCACCCTTGATTCATTTTTCGTTTTACTATTTCTTAGTTCCTTTAAAGGAAACGTACAGGATTACCTAAAAAGGATCATATGAAAGGGAGGTATCAACTTCTCAAAAGCCTCTAAAGATAAACCAATAAATAATAACGAAAACTGTTGTTGACCTGGACAAAATTCGTTTTTAGATACCTATATCTTGTATATATATATGTACCAAAGGACGGCCTTCAATAGAATCTTTCCCAAGAAACATCACGTACAACAAAGGCCGAAACATATCTCGTTTAGCCATCACATATAAATCATGAGCCTATTACCTTTTGGGCATTTATTGCAGATTTCTGACTGCGTATATCTTCGACGATCCTATTCATGATAGGAGGCTGAGAAGTGGTTAAGGTAAAACGTGAGGGGCGCGATAACGACAATGGAAATCGTAGATGTTTTCGAAATCGATAAGGGATACTGCTGGATTAACCATATCTTTCTATAAGGAATGAGCATCGTGCTAGGAATATTCAAACAACTAATTTTACTTAAAGAGTTTATTATTGGTTACTAATAGTCGAATTGGAAATAAATTTGACATTTTAATTCAGTGACAAATCATGGACATGTTAAACAAGTGAACACATCACAAAAATTAGTTTATTTTTCTATCTATTTATCTACTAATAATAATAGTTGGCCCAAATGTGTTGAAGGCACAAGCATCCATCTCGAAACTTTCTCAAACGTAAACAATTGAATTTCATAAAGGAATAGAGAAGCCGCTCAGTCACGTAGAGTAGAATTTGGGACGAATTTCTAAATTCACCGTCAGGAGGATGATAAAGGACCAAGTAAGTGCAAAACTAACAGATGGCATCCAAGAGAGCGGGCGCTGACGCCTCATCCAAAATCTCATTAAGGATGAAACTATGCAACATTAACACGCCGAAAATGTAATTTTCACGATTAAAAGCAGAAAAGATTAACAAAAATTACTTTCTTTGTTTTAAACCTATGTAGTGAACTCGAAAGTATGGTTTGAATCAATAGACACATAGGAATCGAAGATGAAGGAGGCAGAACGGTAGGAAACCATACTTGGAAGTATATTAGAAGCAGGAATGGATGTATAGGGTTGTTCGGAAAGTCATTTCGTTTTTTTTTTGTGGAAATGAAAGACAGTTTTCGTATAATAAACAAATACTTTATTAAATTATATATTGACCGTTTTGGTCCAACACCTTTTACCATCTTTCTGGTAGTAGCATAATTCCACGCTCATAAAATTTTTGATCTTTGCTGGCAAAAAACTGATCGAGGAGGTTTTTGACCTCCTCATTTGAGGTAAAGGTTTTACCGTCTAAAAAATTTTGGAGTGACCGGAACAAATAATAATCCGATGGTGCCAGGTCTGGAGAATATGGCGGGGGTAGCATTGTATCCCATTCAAGCTGTAAAAGCTTTTGGCGAGTGACCAAACTTGTATGAGGTCTCGCATTGTCTTGGTGAAATACTACACCTTTCCTGTTGATTAGTTCTGACCTTTTCTGTTGAAGTGTATCATTCAGTTTGTCCAACTGATGACAGTAGACTTCCGAATTAATCGTTGTGTTATCCGGTAAAAGCTGAAAAAAAAACGATTCCTTTAAAATCCCACCAAACAGACAGCATCACCTTTTTTTGGTGAATATCGGCTTTGGAAATGGTTTGAGCCGGTTCATCTTTTTTGCTCCATGACCTCTTGCGTTTGACGTTGTTGTATACAACCCATTTTTCGTCCCCAGTGATGATGCGCTTCAAAAACGGATCATTTTCGTGACGTTTGAGAAGCGAATCGCAGACGTCAATGCTGCGACACAGATTTCTCTCTGTGAGAACATGGGGAACCCATACATCAAGCTTCGAGGATAATCCCAGGCCTTTCAAGTGGTCATGAACTGTTGAATTAGATAAATTTAACCTCAATCCGATCTCACGTGTTGTTATTCGCCGGTTCACATCAACTAATGCCTTTATCGCGTCTTTATCAGCTTCAACCGGCCTTCCCGAACGTGGTGCATATTCGACATCAAAATTGCCGGATCGAAATTTAGCGAACCAGTTCTGGCACTGGCGTACTGTCAACACACCTTCTCCATACACATCAGTCAATTTCTTTCTGGCTTGAACAGCATTTTTACCCTTT